GGTGCAAAAATATTTTTTAAATACGGGCGACTGCACGCAGAATAAATTGTTTTTACATTCAACTTACTTCTAATAAGACGAAATTTTTATTCACTTTGCATCATTACGGAGATCCTAAGGATTTGAGCCCTCTCCCAAAAAAGGAAGGGCTGCATTATTGCAGCTAAATTAAGAACTGGTCGATACAATGACTTTGTCAACAAATACAATTTATCATTGATTCAAATGCTGACTGCATGACGTTTTTCATACTTATTGTTAGGCAATTTTATAAAAACTGAAATGACGACGTATTCTTCCGTTTTTCCCAGATCATGACAAGGAGCACACAGGGGTTGTGACTATTCGGCAGGTGATGCTCACTCCTCCATGGCACCAAATCCCATCTTTGATGTTTTGGGGGTTCTTGTTTGCTCTGCTCAATTTTTGTATTGTTTAATAGACTTTTGAGCTTAATTTCTGTTCGTTATCTCATTTTTAGATTGTTCTATTTTTATATTTCAGTTAATATATACATGTGCATATTTATTATATTAAATGAAAATATTACCTGAATATTAACATTATTTTCAATTTGCACTTGATTAATATTGAATTTAAGAGTTTAAACTTCTTTAAAAAGTCCAAAAATGATGTTTCAAAGAAAAATCAAAGCTTTCAAGTCTTTGTTATCAACAAATTATTTATCTCCTTGTTGTTGAATTAATTTGATTATTTATATACCGGTATTCATTCATTTATAAAAATCACATCTAATATATCCCTTCAAAACATTTAAACTTAACAAAAGAAATTAAAATTCGATATATTTATATATTTTTTTGCTTTTTTGCGCCCCGTTATTAGCAGACCTATTTTTGTATTCATATGAAGCAGAATTTGTCCAAAATCTTAAACGTTAAAAGAAGAAAGCACTTGCTGTGGCCTTCATTTCGACATTTAGATACTCGGTACCAGGTATATCGACAACGTATTGTCAATTAACAATGGTAATTTCCATTCTTATGCCATATGTCGATGCGATATATCCAGATACCACAAAGTCTGACACATCTGTTTCATCCTTGGATATTTTACTTGAAAAAGACGTAAATGGTTATCTATCAACCAAGTTACTTTACAATCGTCAACTACCCTTACATTAACCTATGCAGCAATAAACCTTCATCACCTACATACGATGTTTATTATCTCAGTTGATTCGATACGAAAAAACATGCTCTACTTATGAACAATATTCTAAAACGAGGTAAATTATTGACAAACAAGTTGATGAAACAAGAATATCAGCAGTACTAGTATCGTTTAAAGTCATCATTTCGTAAGTTCTATAGCCGATACAAAGACCTTGTCAGATACTAGTGCAATTTTTCATTGAGTCAAATTGAGCTTGGTTAATTAATCATAAACAATAATTAATTAAAGACATATTTATGATAAGAATTTTAGGGTAAAGAAATTAAACAACATGCATGTTTGATAATTACAGGTAATTAGCTTGAAACACATTTACACATGAAACCACTCGATCGTGAAAATTCAAATTTTGGTTCGATGGGAGCAACAAATTCAAAAGGTTGTCCGCCTGGGAATTCACCAGAAGCTGGATCCTCTCCTCCAGTCAAACAGCTGCTTGATCAGCCAGAGACTGTCACCACCATAGATACTGGGTATGGAGAACTTTACAATGTGGCCTGTCTGAGTGATGAAGTAATCTGGACAAGTGGAGATGACAGCACCATGAAACTCTTCAGCATCAATCAGGGATCACTACTCAAGTCATTCGAAACCAAGTCAGGAAAAAGACCAGAAAACATAGTTGTCACAATCACTGGAGATCTAGTTTATACAGATAAAAAGGATAAAACTGTACACATTGTGAAGAATGGAAAGATAGAGGAGGTTTTCAGACTAGACTGGGATTTGATTCCCCGTGGTATCTGTAGTACATTCTCTGGTGATCTTCGTAGTGATCATAGACAGTCAAGATTACCAACAATCAAAAGTTGTCCGTTACTCTGGATCCACAGAAAAACAAACAATCCAGTTTGGTGATAAGAAAAATCCCCTCTTTTCCTGTGGCCCTGATAGCAAATACCTAATTGAGAACAGGAATCTTGATATCTGCGTGGTCGACATTGGGGCTGGAGCAGTAGTGGTGGTCAATCAGGCCGGGAAACTGAGATTCAGGTACATTGGATGTACTTCAGCTCCGAAGAACCAACCATTCAATCCACGAGGAATTACCACAGACAGTCAGAGTCACATCCTTACAGCTGATATTTACAATCACTGTGTCCACATCATAAACCAGGATGGACAGTTCCTCCGTTACATAGAATGTGGACTGAGTGAACCCTGGGGACTGTGTACAGATACAAATCACAATCTGTTTGTTGCTGAATATAGAAACAGAAAAGTGAAGAAAATAAAATACCTACAGTAAGACCATTTACTATAATGGGTTTTAAGACTAAATGAATAAATATTGTTAATCTATAGTTGACAATTATTGATAAACACGGTATACCCTATCCGAAAGACTATTTTCAGTAAATTAAAATCTATCATTGAGTCAAATGCTGACTGGCATTCTAAGCTCACCTGAGCCCAAGGCTCAAGTGAGCTTTTCTGATCTTTGTCCGTTGTGGCCGATCAAAGTTTTACATAGAAATATATAGTAAAATTCTTTAAAAGTCTTCTCAAGAACAACTGTGTCAGGAAAGATGAAACTTATAGGGAAGCATCCTCAGGTAGTGTAGATTCGGGTTTGTTAAAATCATGACCCCTGGGGGTAGGGCGGGGCCACAATGGTCGATCAAAGTTTTACTTAGAAATATATAGAAACATTCTTTATAAATCTTCTTCTCAAGAATTATAGCAAAGGCATGAATGATCATATTTTTATGGAAGCATCCTCAGGTATCGGACATTCAATTTTGTTCAAATCATGACTTCTGGGGTTAGGGCGGGTCCACTACATGGAATCCAAATTTTTTCCAAGAAACATATTCAAGAATAGCAAAGCCATGATTAATCCTGTTCATATAGAAGCATTCTCAAGGTAGTGTAGATTCAATTTTGTTCAAGTCATGACCCCTGGGGGTAGGGAGGGGCCACGATGAAAGTTCATGTAAAGGGCAATAAAGCCACAGGTAGTCTAAGAAATATGCAAGCATCCTTAGTCAGTGTAGATTCAAGTTTGTTCAAATAATAGTTCTCCCTTTTAAGGATTAATTGGGACCACTATTGGGTTAAACTTTTCAATAATAAACTGATTTCTCCTTTTTTTTTTCCTAGCCACATTTTTAATTGGGATCACTATTGAGTTTAAACTTTTTCAATAATAAAATGATTTCTGCTCTTTTCCTAGCCACATTGCTCAGGTGAGCGATGTGGCCCATTGGCCTCTTGTTTATACTTAGCCTAATTGTTCGCACACTGAATTTCAATGGATTTTCCGTTATATCTGGATCATTACAAGGAGCACACGGCGGATGTGACCGGTTGGCAGGGGATGCTCACTCTTCCATGGCACCTGATCCCGTATGCTTGGAGGTCCTTGTTTACTCTGCTCATGATTTGTATTGTTTAAAAGATTTTTTGTGGTTGAATATTGTTCTCATCTCCTTACAATTCATTTTAATTTTTTATTCTTGGGAGAATAAAGTCACATTATATTTATTATATTGAAATACATAGTGTAATCAATATTCGAATAAAGTGATGGGAAAAGACTCACTGAATTAAAATGGGAAAAAACGACAGATTTTGTAGTGCTATGTTATACATCAACTAGAATTGAAATAAATGTTGAATACTTTGTACAAGTTTTGTCGAGATTCTGAGTAATTCAAATATACAAACTTAAGTATATTTACATAAATGCAGATTGTAATTATGAAGATGGAAGAAAAGATAATCATCAGTCTTTCTGTCAATATTACATTTGTAAAACTTAACAAAAATAAGAAGTACCAAGTTTGAAATCTAGTGGGAATTATCGATATGTTTTGATGGAATTGAATCTATGAAAAAATAGTATGCATGTTTTGTTTTTCAATTAGCAAAGTTCACCAACGGTCTTGTAATTTTTTTAAATAAAAATTTAATTTAGATAGCAGACTTCTGTTATGGATAGAAAGAAATTTCAAAAGGTGGGGGATTACAATTTAGGGCATATTTTGCTTTGAAAAATTATTTACAAAAATAATATTTATTAAGCAGATGTCTGTAACGGATCAAGAAATCAAAGGGTGTGGGGGGATTACAGATCAATAGGGGCCTTGTTAGGCATCAGTGAATTAAAGGGAATAACCCTTGTTAGGGGTTTCGAGGCCAAATCGCTGAAAGTTTCTGAGTTGCACATGTTACATCACATGTATAATAAAATATAAGATGTTCATGTACATAATTGTTTTGCAAGTGTTTACTCTGTGTTTCTTATACACCCCCCCCCCCGGTATTTGTGACGTTCAGATTATCCAGAGGGACAAGGATCTGCTGAGTTCAGGCAGTTTGAACATGTGTTTGTTTTGCATTTCTAAATAAATATGTTGACACCCTTACCAAAAATATTGCCTTCCTACAAATATTTGCTGCAATTAACTTTGCAGCAAACTTGTGCAGACATTGCAGCAAGTTTGTTGCAATGTAGCTAAAGAAAGCATGACAGTCTATACAAAGTCTTGGTGTTTGCAGCAGGTTTGCGGCAAGTATGCAGCAAGCTTGCAGTAAACATTTTACCATGCAAATGAAACACTGGATTTCGAAATATGGTAACCTTCCTGCAAGCTTGTGGCAAACATTGCTACAAACTTGCGACAAACATTGCTGCAAGCTTGCGGCAAAACATTGCTGCTAACTTGCAGCAAACAATTTCCTTATGGTTTTGGCACATTTATGTATATCAAGAAGGAAGTTCACAGAGAGTTTTTGTCCTGACCTAAATCTGTTAACCATAGAGAAAAGCCACACGTGTCTAAAATGATGCAAATTTCTGAGGTGTTCATAGACTCTTTTTTCCTCGACAAAGTTTACATACTTTTTCTAATTTAAGTACATCAAAGATTTTCAATCAAATCAATTCCGTGTCTACCTCTGTACATTCTGTATTTCATTGGTTGATTTGCATTCACTCCGCAGGACCCTTTTGCAGAATTTCACATCTGTCTGTGCCATCTTGATTTCTGATTTAAGAAAAGCTTCATTTTTTCTGGACATGCACGTACTTTACCTAGCTGTCCTAGACCAAGGGACCTATATACTCCATAGGTCCCTGGCTAGACGTTGTCCCTCTAGCAGTTACATTTTCTTCCATATATTGGAAAGGCATGTTGTTTTCAAGCAAGGTGCCCCAAAGGTTAATTGCAGGCACGTAGCATCGATTTTAAAAGTGGGGGGGGGGGGGGGGAGTCACTTAAATTTTTATTTACTTACCTGAAAAATTAAGCAAAAAAAAGAAAAAAAAAGAAAATTGCCCAAAGTCAAAAAATCCTATTTCGTGCGGGGGGGGGGGGGGGGGGGGGGTTAGAGGCAAACTTTTTCCACTACCAATTCTTTTCAATATCCATTTTTTAAGCTTACAGTACTATATTTCCTTCATATTTCTTTACTTTAGTATAAAGTGAGGGAGCCAACCAGCCTTTCAATGAACATTTTCAATAGTAAAAGTACTGTTGGCAAAAAGTGGGGGGCCAGCCCCCCCCCCCCCCGGTTGCTACGTCCCTGAATTGTTCGTGAAGAGAAAGAGGAGTCTTACTCGAACCCCCCCCCTTTCCGAGAACGTGGACCCGTATTTAGTTGGAGAGATCGGAAAGAGAAGTCAGAGATATTAAGGGTTGTTGGAAGCAACACCATCCATGCCACAAAGAAAGATGCTTCACGTCTAAGAAAGAAGTTTACATTGTTACGTGTCAATCCTTGAAATTTCTAGGTACTGGTAATTTAATTTTCTTCTGATTGGGGTGGGCCATTTAAACCCCACCCCCGGAAAAAAATCCTGGATATGCTACTCCTATGAGGAGTAGCGTATCAGAACTCATAGCTAGCGAATATGTGATCTATTAAATTTTCAGAACCATTTTTCCACTTTCCGACATCTGCAGATGCGTTTATGCCCTCACCCTTCTTCCCTTAGAATTAAACCATTGAAACAAATTGATATACACATGTAATATACTGTATAACAGGCACTTGATTCTTTAATAAGTCATTTTTGATTGGCTGTGGGCCCCCTACCCCTCCCCCTTTTTTCAAGATCCCTGCATCCGCCACTCCTTGGCTAGCGAAACGCTTAAATTGGGTCAATACAAAAAAAAAGCAGCTAAATGGTTCATGTGAAAATTCAATTAAATATTTCCGTTTCTTTTTTGTATCTAAATTGATAAAGCTGCACAATATTTTGGGAAAACAACATTTAGCAAACAGTAGGGAAGCTATTTTTTTCCAGTAATAATGTTCTCGTAAATATTATCAAACTGTGTTTTTCTGTCATTGGTGTTACCTTATAAAATTTTGTTGTATAGAATAAACATGATCAAGTGAAAAACCTATGAATGCAAGCTATGATAAACATTTACTAGTATTACTCAAGTTTACTGATAAGTCCAAAAGTTTCATTGTCCAGTGATGAAAATTAAGTTTTCAATCATATTTGTACATTGACGTGAGACAAAAATAAAAAGACACACGCTACTATGCTGTAAATGTGGTGCCATGTGTGTATAAATCAAAATAAAATAGTTAATGATTTTTTTCAATCAGAAAATTAAGGTAATATAAAGTTATCTCTTACATTTAAACTTATTAAAAGGGAAAAATAACACCTTTTAGGTTGGTTACTCCACTGACTCAACCGTAACACCAATGATCGAAATCAGCAATACCAATGACTTAGCACTTAAAAACTAGCAATTTAACATAATACAACATGAAATTTTATGTGAAAGACAGAATACACTGCATGACTAACATACAGAAATGAAATAAGTTTCTGGGATTTCATACTTAAAATGATCTTATAACAAAAAGAAATCTGGTAACACCAGTGACTGAGACTTATTCCATTGTGACCATAGCATAATACAGAGCTACATGAGGTGTACTGTCATTTAATCATTAAAAGAATATGTGATTTATGTAGATATGTAGATATAACTTAAAAAAAAATATAAAGGAGAAAACCCCCTGTTGCAAACGTTAATTTTTTCTTATACTTTTCTTCAATAAAGCCCCACATGATTGTATATAAATGCATGGTAAAAGCTGAAAGAAATACAGTATTGGTTTATCATTGGTTTGAAAAAAAAGTAAATGCGGGTAGGGTAAAAGGATCTCAACTGTGTCGGATATAACGTTTTAAATCCCATATTCTTCATTAAAGAACTAGTGGATAAAATGTATAAATCAAAATCTCTTGTCACTGGTGTTACTTCACAAGTCATT